CCGGATCCCATCTTACCTTCGAAATGAAGTGCGCTTGGTGCAACATTACTACTCGGATGGGTGACCTCTTGTTATTCCCTCCTGTCACAATAATTTTTTTTTTTGTCTCAACTGTCGACGTTACTCGCAACCTTAACTGTCTTCCGATGGATTAGACCATTATGTGATACGACATCGCCCTGCTTTTAATTGATATTAGATGATGGGAATTTAGCATAGGGGGTTACTTTCAATGTCATTTTTGCAGATTGGATGGTCACAGTTTTGCTTATTATTCTCTTTTTAGGTAATGGATTCTTAAGCTGCAGACTTGCATTTCTTCATGCAAAGTGGAAGTTCCTCTTTAGTGATACCCTTTATTGATTGCGTTGGTTGGCAGGAACATCAACAAAGGCATTTTTCAAGGGTGTTGAAACATGGAAAAAGGAAACTATTCTGAAGAAGGTAACTTCTTCAACCAATATAGATATTACAGGCATTGTTTGAGAAGTATTTATGACAAAGAGTTACTTCAATATAGCTTTTTAATGTTTCCTCATGCAATATCCAAAGCTACTCTCTCTTATGGCATGTTTAGATACTTGATGTTTGGAAATATCTTCATATTTCTACGTCCAACCATACAAGTTGTGACAACTTAAAACTATGAAACTTTGTTTGGCACTTTTTGAGCCTTCGTGGTCTTCCAAGTTACTGAAGAAAATGGATGCATAGGTCACACTAAGTTCTGCAATATTTTTGTTAACGCTACTGAAAACTTTGTATCTAACTGTTGGAGTGCTGCTTGTTTTGGACTTTTAGGAGGCCGCCAAGCGTCTGGAGTCAAGTGGTAAGTTGAACTGTTGTTCTTCGTCAATATCCAAATGTCAGACTTAATCTAAATTTACTATTTTGACATCAGCTGATATGTTTCTCACATCTATCAGATGCTGATAATGGAGAGGTCGAATACAGGCCTCTTCCTAGTGGCCCAGGCAGTAACCCAGAAAAGGAGAAGAAAGCTGAAGTAAGAATTTTCTTGTCACCTATTACAAGTACCAGTTAATTCACGTTACTAACTTAGATGTTGTCGCAGGTCAGTATTCTTGAGAATGTTTGTTGGAAGGAACTTGGACTTCTTGTTTTTGTTTGGTTTGCATTTCTCGGACTGCAAGTTGCCAAGGTTTTGCTTTCTATTCTGTATAAACTGCAGAAATACATAATAGTATATAACTTCTTATTTCTCCTGATGTATTATGAGGCCCTACTAATGGAAAATTCTTACATCTGGCTACAGAACTACACATCTACTTGCTCGGTAGCATATTGGGTTCTGAACTTGATGCAGGCACGTTTTCTCACAATGCCTTGTCCATCATCAACATTTTAAACATTTTTTCCTCTAACAATGAAGGGACTATAACATGTAACTTTATGAATTATTTGCATATAAAAATTAAGGCCTGCAAGATTGAGATGTATATAATACCTGGATTATGTAAAAAAATCAGTTTTGATCTAAAATATAAAAGCTTCTTGATATTTTGGTTGATGCATGCCTTCTTGCAGATTCCAGTTTCCTTGGGGGTTTCTGGGTATGAAGCAGTTAGCTTGTACAGAGGACGGAGAGTAATTGCATCTAAAGGAGATCAAGGTACAAACTTTCAAGTGCACCAGCTTGCTCTCTATTGCTTTTTTGGAGTTCTGGCTGGAGTTGTTGGTGGTCTTCTTGGACTTGGTGGAGGCTTTATCATGGGTCCACTATTCTTAGAGTTGGGAGTTCCTCCACAGGTGAGTTTGTTTTTTTCCTTCAGATCCACGTAAACTGCAAAAGAATTAGTATCGAATGTCTGCATCTGCATAGGACAAGAGTGCTTCATGATTAAGTCCTAATGATAGGTCTGAACCTCCATACTCTTATCAAATGATCCACCAATATTTTCCCCGAGCACTGTATTCTTACTGATGATCTTATCACCATAGATGTAGTTGTAACCTTTTCTAATGATCTTTTTGTAGGTCTCAAGTGCCACTGCCACTTTTGCAATGATCTTTTCCTCATCAATGTCTGTTGTGGAATATTACCTTCTGAAACGTTTTCCAGTTCCATATGGTAAGTTTGTCACCAAACCCACCCAGTTGTCTGAAATTGCTTCCTGTTATTTGAACGATTGTTAATGAGTTCTCATTTTACTCATCTTGTTGTGCAGCTCTATACTTCATCGCTGTAGCTACTGTAGCTGCTATTGTAGGCCAGCATATTGTGAGGAAGCTGATTATTCTATGTGGAAGGGCATCTCTCATCATCTTCATTCTCGCATCTACCATATTCATTAGTGCAGTCTCGCTTGGTGAGTATTAATATTAATATTTCCCTGCACTTGGCTGAATGCCATATACTTTCTCAAGCTTAACTAAAGATTTAAGAGTCCTGAGATTGTCCGAAAATTCTTATCTACTCGTGTTCTTCGTAGGTGGTGTTGGAATATCGAACATGGTTTACAAAATTGAGAACCATGAATACATGGGATTCGAAGACCTCTGCAAGTACAAGTCATAGTTTTTTCCTTCTTTTTGCTTTTATGTTCTTCTCGTTCTTCCAAATTCGTTTCTGGTGTAATCATTCTCTAGTCTGCAAATTTGATTCATAGGTATCAATGTATTAGTGAGATCAAACATGGTTGCTAGTTGAAGTTTATCAAGAACTACCCTTATCGTGGTTTATTCTTCCATGTAGTCTATGATGGTTTTTCGGTGAGAAATTCAATGTAATTTATTTGGAAGCCATGATTATTTCACGTCACCTCTCTCTTTTCCTGTCGACCCGAGCTAAATTTAACTCTTGGTACCAGATGGGTAGGAAAATGGAGATGCAAACATAAGAGGAAAAGAATGAAATCAAAAAATGGTGAAAACTAAAATTTGATATTTATTTTATTGACAAGTATAAAGGCTATTAATTGTTATTGTCTTGGCATTTGGTAGCCATTTATGAATGTTACTCCATTGACTCTTTTCACACCAAACTTTGACTTAAAATTATTCTTGCCTGTCATTACTCAAAATTTGTCCCCCCACAAAAAAAAAAAAAAAAAGAAGCTAAAATCATTTTTAGCCTTCTGGTTTTGGTTTTGTTATTCTGACTAATTTCGGCTGCTTTTACACCAATAAAAAGTATTCAACACTTTTTTGCAATATATATATATATATATATATATATATGATATTCGTTTTACCCATGTTGTAAATATATTATCTTTTTACTCACCAACTCTACGATGAATATAATTATATTAAAATATATTTGGTGAAAATTGTTAACGTGTATAATTAAGAATATGGCATTGAATTTTGTTTTTTTTTAATTATTTTAAATTTTATGATTAAACATTATCATATTATATATATAGTATAAAAATTATAATAATTAAGGGTGGTAGACGTTATTAAACTTCCATTAATCAATCACTACCAAACATCATTATTTAAATATATATATATATATATAAGTAGTGTTATTTAATATAAAAATGTTCCTATCAAATATGATAGATACACTCAAGACAGAAATGAATATTGTATCGTCACGAATCTTCTCTCTTCTACCCCACTTTTGCATTTACTACTTACTTGTTTTTTTCTACGTATGATGTGATGTGATCTATATCCACTTGTATATATTATGGAAGGCCTCTAATTTGAAAGAGTTTATTTATTTATTTTTCTAAATGTCTATTGTAAAATTCAAATTAATATATATGGTAGTAAAATTACTAAACGTGTATATAATATTTATATATACACATTAAATTAGAAAATATATGTTAATATGTAATTAAAATTGAAAGTATATCACAGATGTGTATTAATTTTAAAATGGTATATTATATAGTTTTGTTCGTCCAAATTTTGTGGGACCCGCACGTAAGTTTTTTTAAGTAGTCAAAATATTTTTTCAAAGTTAATTAATGATGCGAACTTAGAAATTATAAGTAATTTTATTTGATGTAAATTGCAATTTTACTTTTTTAACTTTTTGGTAATTTTTCAATTTAAATTTTTGCAGAATTTGATGCCTTTAACTAATGTTAATATGTGATGGATAGAAATATTTTACAGTCAGTTTGTGCAGCCGAAAGCCGCACCGAGTAAAACCTTAATTTATTGTAACATTGAAGGGGGACAAAAAGGGGAAGAGAAATACCCTAGAGGGCTCTAAATAAAGCTTTCGGTCTCTGTTCGTCTGATAACAGAATCAGGATCGAAGGAGAGCAGAATGGTTTTCTACTTCAAAGCCCGACCGGAAGCTGGGGATTATACCGTCTTCATGGGCCTTGACAAGTACGAGAACGAGGAGCTCATCAAATACGGTTTCCCTGAAGACATTTGGTAATTTTGAAGAAAACCTTCGACTTCCTCTCTCTCTCTCTCTCTCTCTCTCTTTTTTTTGGGTCGAATTAGTACTGCCTTTTCATTATATCATTCTTTAGATGCCCGATAATTTTTCAATTGCTCTATTCGTGGGAATTAGTATGATTAGGGTTTTTCAGGTGTAATCCCTGGAATTTTCGTTTTTAAGTAAGATTTTTTAATATTATGCATGATTTGTGCAAAATGGAAGAAGAAGAAGATGTCCTCTTTTTTTTAGATTAGATTGGTGGTATGATACGAGTGAATTGCATATATATTGGTTACCAAGAAACTAAGAGTTAATAGGAGAGAGTAAACTGGAGAAATCGAGAGAGAAGAACCAATTTCAGTTCATATACTAGAGGTTGCAATCTGGAAATTGAAAACAAAACAAAATGCAGCAGTTGTCTATGCCAAATTGAAATCCTTACAGTGACCTAACTAGGTTTTGGTAATAGCATCTGGTATTTAGGTAACTAGTTTTGACAGAAGAGTTCTTTAAATATCGACGGAAGATGGTGCAGTCTTCAGCCTCTTTAGTTTTAGCACGGGATTATCATTGTCATAAGGCAGGCATACCCAAGGATTTGCATCGTCTTTGAAATGTTTAGCATTTGGATAGACACTTTTACGGGACTTGGAATTTCTTTGTTATCAATTTCATTCTGGTTTGTGATTGGATCGTTCTATGAATAAATTACCACAACCACTTCCATCAATCACCTACTTTTACCTTCATTGCAACTAATGCATCTACTTTTTGACTGTCAAATCCTATTTCCTCAAATTCATATCACTGTGAATTACCACAACCACGTGCAGCAGCAATTGCACGTTGGAATCCAGTGATTCCAGCACTTCTTGCATTGTATTTACCCCATGCTATTCTTCCATAACTATATTATCATGACACTTTAATGGTTTCTGACGCACAACGCAAAGATTTAATGGTTTCTGACGCTTTTGACAATTCGGGACTGTATAATGTGTTGGTTACCCGAAACTTGAATGATTGGGGGTTGGATGAATATGGGAAGCTTCTAAATCTGATGGCTGGTATTAATATTCTGGACAGACCTGACAGTTTGATCTGGGAGGGACAAAAAAATGGCAAATTCACTACCCAGTCTTTCTACAATTTTCTTTCCAACCCCAATATCCGGTGCAGCACTGCAAATAATTCTCAGTTTCCTTTCAAATCTATTTGGAAAACCAATGCTCCTTCCAGAATTGCTTTTTTTGCTTGGGAAGCCAGTAAAGAGAAGATTTTGACTTTAGACATCTTGGTGAAAAGAGGAAAAATTATGGTTAACAAGTGTTTTCTCATAGCTGCAATTACATTCTTCTTTGTTGTCCCTTTACTTCAAAACTTTGGTCCATGGTCTTTAATTTGATTGTTATTACTTGGGTAATGGCTGGATCCGTTCACGATGAACTTTTGGCTTGGAAGGGTTTAAACTCGAGCATCATGTCATCACCTTATCCCCAATACTATATTTTGGACTATTTGGAAAGAAAGAAACAATAGGGCTTTTGATGATAATGAAGATACTTTTGTAAATATTAAGGAAAGATGGTTACATTGTTTTGGCTCCATCATTTTGGATAGTAACTTATTATCTTTTGATGACATTGGAGTTGTTGTCGATATTCTCTTAAATATGTAATACTTTTGTACATGGACGGTACTCCTTTGGTGCCCTTTTTTAATGCATCTACTAACTTCTATCTCAAAAAAAAAAAAAAAAAAAATACCATGAACAAAGTCAACATCGGGAGCTTCCTTGAAATCTCCTTCCAATCTTCTGTACTTGTAGCAGTTTAAAATTTTCCATTAGGAACTCTTGCGTTGTTTATGATTCTCATTATTAATCTCCAAGGTTTGATGGTTTAACTGTTCCCTTTCTTCCCTTCTTGAGGATTCCTTCAACTTGCAACCTTGCTAGTCCCAAGGTAATAGGATAGAAGCTTGGGGGATGATCTCCCATACTATCTCAGATGGGGTTGATTTCAAGGAAGAACGATAGTCCGTGTTGTAAAAATACTCCTCCCACAATAACCGTTCCATTGAACAACTTGGCTTATGATTTATGAAACATCTTAGATACATTTGAATTGTGCAGTTAACCACTTTGCTGGCCATGTGATTAAGTATGGGAAGCTGATCGAAAGCCAATTTTGTGCCGGAGAGTCAAAGAACTTCCTTCTAAAAGGCACTTGTGAAGGTTACATCATGGTCGACGATCTATTACTGCTATATATGGATGAAATGATGGCAAAATATGAGCATATTTGGAAAGGCTATTGACCACCATGAACAGAATGTTATTGTCACACGACAGTTGGGAGACATTCCAAACATCAAGGGGGATGTTGTCCCAAATTGTTTGGAATGGTAAGCGGTTGGAGGAGGCGGGTTGGTTGGAGTTATTCCACCATGTGTTGTTGGCAAGTTGGGCAAGATTAAACAAAGTTATGGACTTTTTGTTTTTCTACCTTCCAATAAAGTCACTGGCCATCCCTCTGGAAGTAATTTGGTATAGTTTCTGCCCATGGTTATGGAGCGCTGATTGAATGGTTGGGACTTCAGGAGAAATAGGTAGAAGGAACACCCTTTCCTTGTAAAGGAGAAGATTCTCTTAAAAGTCCAGAGATTGCCTAATCCTTCTTCTTGTACTTGATGGGCCAACTTTTGAGGTCTGGGATTCCATGAATTCTTCTCTAATAGCATTTTAAAAAAATTAGTTGGGGCATGGATATGGCAACGAAGGTACCCATTTCTTCAAATTGTTGAAATAAAGTGTGTGCTACAATGTTTCCCTACTCAAACTTGGAGCTGTGGGTAGGCTTGGCCATACCAGATTAGGCTTGGCCAGTTTGGATTTATGATTTGTTTTTTTTTTTGGTGTTTTTTTTTTAGTCCATACCAGGGATCGAATGAGACTGAAACTGTTGGTAGAGATGAACAATGGTTCAAAACCAGACTACACTGGCCTGGTATCACTTTTGTCTAGACCGGACTGTACCTGAATTTTTTGGTCTACTCCGGATTGAAGTGGATCGTACAAAATATTTTAATTTTCTGAAGTATATTATATACAAAATATATAAATATATATACATTAAATATACGTGTGTGTGTGTGTGTGTGTGTGTAAATAACATAAACATACAAAATATATACATATTCATATATATATGTTATTCTATATATATTAAATTCATTATTTTAAGAGAATTCATTTAATTGGTGCTGTCCTCAACAGGATTAGAACAGACTGCTCTCTTCAGCTCCTAATCTCTTGGACTGAGCACCAGATTGTATGTGGACCAATCGAGTCTGGAATGAACACCCTGGTCCAGTCTGGTTTTTCCTGTCTGGATAAGGTTTTGCTGACCCCTAAATATTGGTCCTCTAAGCTTAGGACCAAGGATAGGGCTAAACACAATTTGGTCATGTTCGATTCAGTTTTCTAGTCCAGCAATTTAACACCCCTATTTGGAACTCCATGACAAGATGGGTTAATTCTTGATCAAAGGCTCATCAATAAATGGTGTGTGCTCCCTGAATTTTCCGAAATAATTATGGGCCACTCTGTTACTCATTTTTTATATTTTTATAGTTTGAGAAGTCACCTTACCTATGATAGCATGGATGGAAATCTTGGGACCCTCTGCCCCTTCAATCACCTACAATAGATGTCTGGAAGCAGATCCTCTGCAAATTCCAACCAAAAGAATTTTTTTACATCCTAGAGTGAACAGATCATTGCAGATAGAACAAAGTCCTTTCTTATGCCTTTCCCCTATTTAATCTTTGCTTAATTTATTAATGAAGACTGGTTTGCTACCTCCATAGATGATCTTCTCACTGCTTTGCTATCCATCCACCTTCCTCTGATGGTGCTCATAGAGGTGGGCATAACTTATTACCATTGTTAGATCCACAGGATGTTGTAGCTCTACCGCCACCTCTATATAGTCTAGCAAGTGATGAGAATTTCAATCTCTTGGGCGGGTATAAGTGTGGAAGCCTGATTGGATAGTTATTCAAACCTCTATCAGGAACCTGGTGTCTAACAGCAGCTTGGAAGCAGGTACTGATGTAGTTTTTAAGGAGTTTTAGGGCTGAAGGAGGCAGATTAGGAGATTGGCAGCAGAGGTGGGAGTAGGAAGGAAGAGAGAAAAGAGAGAAAGAGTTAGGAAGGATAGAGTTTATAGTAGATTTTCATTCATTTCTTCATAATTTCAGCTCTTAAAACCTGGGTACTTATATAGCAGTATCACCCTCCTAGAATGAAAATAAAGGGAACAAAAAACCAATTACTACCAGGTGTAAATGATAGCCAGTATACGAGTGTCCTTTTGTAATGGAATCCTTGACTAATTCCTCTGCGAACAGTTAATTTTTCTAACAAAAAACAAAATAACATGACGTTTTTGCCCTCTACAGCATTTTCCAGGTCCTTACATCTCACCCTTTCTGCAGAAGAACCTTGTCCTCAATGTTCTTGTGATGTTAATGCAATGGATTTAACTCCATCAAATTTTCATCTCCTACTCATAACAACTAATCATAAACAGGTGTTATTTCTGCAAATCCGATGAGGAGACTTGGTACCATTTGGTGCTGGGTTGCCCTGTTACAAATGCCATATGGTCTTCTGTTTTGAGGCTTATTGGGGTGGATTGGGTTTATGGTGGGTAGTGTAAGTAATGAACTTTGGGCTTGGGAGGGTTTGTGTATAAAAAAAGGGAGGCATTTATTTCTTGTACCACTTACTATTTTTTGGGTGATTTGGAAAGAAAGAAATGCTAGAGCTTTTGAGGGGGTTGAGACTAACTTTGGTAACATTAGAGATAGATGGATTCACACATTTGGATCTATTTTGCTGGGTCATGATATTAAAGATCTAGATGATACGGGTGTGATTATTGACCAATTGATAGTCTTGTAACTATTTTGAATATGGGTAGTACCCATTTGTTACCTTGTGCATAATAATACTTCACTTTTATTCCAAAAAAGAAAGCTCATAAACGACTATTCCTTGCATTTAATCTATTTGCAGCCTGTTCATCATTTCTATTCACAAAAGCAAAAAATTGCGAGTGTCGTAAAATGTCTTATGCATTCTTTGGACTAATAGGGAAGAAAATGAAAGATGGCTAAACATTTAGCTCCACTGTTGATTAAACATGTTCTCTTTGTTGAAAAAAATTTTAGAAACTCTCATCAAAATATCAGCCCCATTCCATGTCAAATGACTATCATTGTATGTCATGTAGTACCCTCTCAAGCATTCTAGTATAAAGGGATTATGTCCTCTGAATGTCATTACATCACCATTTTAAAAACCCCAGCAAGCTGACCCTCCAAATTCTAACAGAACTGTTGAGTGACGATAATGACTCCAGGAGTATGATATCATAATCAAGATAAATGCCATGATATCTACTTCCGTTTTCTGGGACAGTATCCCATCTTTGGAATTTCTTCTTTACAAATCAGGCTTGTATATGTTATTGGATTGATGGTTCCACCTCGAATTTCTTCTTTACAAATCAAGATAAATGCCATGATATCTACTTCTGTTTTCTGGGACAGTATCCCATCTTTGGAATTTCTTCTTTACAAATCAGGCTTGTATATGTTATTGGGATTGATGGTTCCACCTCGAATTAAAGTCTTCAAACCTGGTGAGTTTTCCTCTTGAGAAGACTCTGCAAACTCCTGGTAAAAACAAACAGTTTCAGCCTCCACTCTCTTTCCAGGAAGGTTTTAGGAAGAAGCAGGAGAAATATGTGTTTTCTGCTGTGCTGTCATTGTAGATCGCTTAGGTTTTGTGATCATTATCTATAGTTGAGCGTTGCTTTCAGCTAGTTTGGCATCTAGCTTTGCACTGATGGTCTGTAAATTTCCATCATGAATTCTTGAAGGCACTGGTCTAGTCTTTGGATAGATTCTTTTACATGGGTTAGTTGATGCAAATTCGTCATGTTTTCCTCTAAATCGTGCCGCTCTGATACTATTCTCAGGAACCCGTTGTCGACATCAGGTGGGAAGTAGGTATTAATGTAGTTCTTGAGGAGTTATAGGACAGCTGAGGCAGATTAGGGAGATTGACAACAGAGGTGGGAGTAGGAAGAGGGAACGAAAAGAGAAAAGAGACGAAAAGTTAAGAATGACAGAGTTTAGAGGATTTTCATTTATTTCTTCATAATTTCAGCTATTGCAACCTCAGTATTTATAGCAGTAACAGCCTCCTACTGTGAAAATAAAACAAAAGGTAACCACTTAGTACCAGGTACAAATAACAACTGGTGTATCAGTGTCCTTTTGTATTGGAAATCTTCGGCTAATTCCTCTACTGACAGCTAATTATCCTAGTTGAAAACAAAGTAGCAAATGACATCTTTACCCTCTACAAGACTTCCAAGTCATACAATGTCTTCCAGTGCTCAATCACAAATCTCTCTTATTACAACTTGTTTGGCTAGTTCCCCTGGTTTGTTTTACTGTGTATTGAGGGTCCAAAATGCAAATCACAAGTGGTTTTCAAAGTCGTGTCAAGTCCTCTTGGTTCAGTCTCATTCTAATTCTAATTTGAAAACCCAAAATTGAGCATAATCCTCTACGTGAAAAGAGGCCGGCCTACCTTGTCCTCCTCAGCATTGCAATGATGGTGAAAAAGAGGCCCACAGCATTTCAGCCACCCGAGTGGATCTACCACCTGTCGTATTGCAGAAAATCGAGCTTCAAGAATCGAGGAACCATTCCCTACTGTCTGCACCTTCTCAAATCCACGTCGGTCTCTTTCTTGACACCAACATTGCTAGTGGTTTCTGAGGCTTCTCTCCTGGTGGTGAACAACTCGCGTTTAAAAGGTTCTATCTTTACCAGAGTTCTTGTTGTCTCTCTTTTATCCTGGTTTGGTCCTCTTATATTGTTTCTGTGTGAATTCAATTTGTTGTTGGAAGGCCTTGAATTTCCCCCTCACTGCTGGTTCTGATACCAAATTGATATGGTCCTGGGTTTATGATCTGGCTTGGGGTCCAGAAACGGTGAAATTGTGAACCTTTAATCATTTTCAAGTAAATTCTATATTTTAGATTGAATAGCTGGTAAGTTTTATTGATCATAATAACATTTATAAGGGGAGCTATTTGGAATACATCATTACTCAGGCAACTCCTATTCCTACTCTTAAATTGATAACATTAAAAACACAAAGTTTTAGTAAAGAATCCCAAGTCAAATAATCCTCCTAAAGTGAACTTTTGTAGCCATCTTATCCTTCAGCCAATTTGGAAGAAGAATCCAAATTCGGCTGGACCCTGGAGCTGCTGAGGGTGGTCTACGGATCCCCTTGCAGTTCTAAACCCTCTCAAACCTTCTGTTGTTTTTGGCTATATTAGTGGCCGGAACAAGATGTTAAAAAAAATTATATATGTTTCTACCGACCTAAAGATTCGACAGTGGGCACAGTTTCTTTGAAGTTATGCAATATCATAACTATAAGAATACTTCTGCAAAGAAGAAAATATACCAAATACGAACACAACTATAGTGTCTCGCCAACAACATTTTTGTCATAGCACTTGCATAACTGCAAGTTTATCATCTTCTATGACTGCAGCAATCTTAACATAGCTGTTCTAATTCTTGTAATACGATTGTCTTTAACAGCTCAAAGTGATACCACGTGTAAAAGACCGTTTTGGATGAGCCTTTTCTTTTCTCAATTTGAAGAAGTTTCAGGAAGGGGACATTTTAATCGGTCACTTCATAGGGTTATTTCTAGTTTTATTTCAGATATACAAATATGTGTGTGTTTGTTCTCTGATCGGGGTCATTCATTGCAGGTTCCATGTGGATAAAATGTCTTCTGCCCATGTATATCTGAGACTTCATAAGGGTCAGACTATTGATGATATAAGTGAAGGTGTGCTGGAGGATTGTGCTCAGCTCGTCAAAGCCAATTCCATCCAAGGCAAACTCTAATGGACACCTTATGCTTTATGGAAATTTACTCATCTTCAAGTTTCATAAACTTAGTATTCAACTGATCATTGATTTGGTTATGGCAATAATTATTGAAGTTTAATTCCTTACTTTGTGATCAAAGGGAGGGGGCTGGGTTGCTGCCCTTCAAGGCAAACATATTTAGGACACATAGTTGTTGGCCATCTTTACCTGAGCATGTCTTTATTTCTAAAATTTTAGCAAGTTCCTGCTGTAACATTCATTCATCAATTTTGTTCGCATGCAGGAAATAAGGTGAACAATATTGATGTTGTTTACACTCCCTGGTCCAACTTGAAGAAAACAGCTGCCATGGATGTCGGCCAAGTTGGTTTTCACAATTCAAAGATGGTGAACTTCTTTATCTTTTAGGTTACCTGCATATATCTTACATGTGCAATAATGAGTTCTGTACTGTGAACGGATATCTGACTTGTTGCTTCATTCAGGTTCGGACTGTGAGGGTGGAGAAACGGATAAATGAGGTAGTTAATAGATTGAACAGGACAAAAGTAGAAAGAAAGCCTGATCTAAAAGGTAGGATTTGAATTAAGCTTCAAAACTACTTTTTGAATAATATTTACTAAAACTACCTTTTGAATAATATTTAGTAAAACTAGATTCTAAAGATGTTTTGATTTTTTATAGAGGAAATCGGCCTCAAGTTTGGGCTCTGTATATAACTCAAAATGATTTACGAATTTATTACTGTGAATTATTTAGTTTTCAGCAATTAATTTGTATTATAGTGAATAGCAACTTGTTTATGATGCAGCGGAACGAGAAGCAGTCAACGCAGCAGAAAGAGCAGAGAGAAAACAGCACCTGAGGGAGAAAGTAAGTTTTGTATATTCTTTAAATTCCCTGAAACCTTTTTCTCCCCAGCCATTTGGAAGTAAAGCACTGTAAGTTAATTGACTGATGTCAGTAGATATCTATACTGTGATTGAACACTCTGAAGGTGTGATCTAATTGAGTTTGTTGAGATTAAAGATACGGAACCGTACTTAAAAACCAGGATTATCTTTTAGAACATTTGGTTGAAAGAACACTGTCTATTTTACATCCTGATGAAGGAATAATTATTTGTCTTGATTGGATTTCTGAAAAGAAAGGTGTGTGTGTTTTTTTTTCTTGTAGAAACGTCGGGAAGAGATGGAAAGGATGGAAAAGGAGAGACAAGCAGAGATTAGGAGCTACAAGGGCTTAATGGTTGCTGAAAAGATGACATCGAACAAAGAGATTGCATCGGCAAACAAGTCTTTGCAGGAACTGGAAGATGACTTTATGTAAGCAGCTGTCACGGTTATCAATGGATTTAATGTTGTTTAAGATGTTGCCAGCTGCCAAATTTGCTTCCCTGTAAAGAGGGATTTCCGTCAGCTTATGATTCTATATTCAAAGTCATTTTCCGTCTTGAATATGTTCCTGATCCATCGCAAGAAGGAAAATGAGCAGCGATGGAAGAGGAGAGAGGACAGTGGAGTTGAGAGGGAATGAACTTTGCAGCAAACGTATGTTCTACTTGTCTGCTAAACTTTGTGTCTATACGGCTATGTCTACGATGCAATTTTTATGGTATATTTTTTAAAGAAGGATATCTAACCACACCCATGAACGGGGGTGCCTGTATGTATCTGAAATATGGGATTGAAATATTCGTTTTTTCTGGTTCCATTCAAAATGAGGTCCGATCATGATGTGTCCATCAAAAATGGAAATATTTAGCTAAAAAGAAAATTTAATTGCGGGCAGTATTGTAACTTTGAAGTATATGTGAATATATATATATATATATATATATATATGAATATTGATATTTAAAACGCAGTGAATGTAATGTTCTTCGGCTATAACACACGATATAATCTCAAACTGCGAAAACCATTACTAAAATATCTCTAATAAATCTCAACTTACTAACTTGTCAAACACACAGATTACTGGCAATAAAATTACTGAATAACTTTTTTAGTTACATTTCTACTGGATAACTCCGTCTAATAAATTAAAAAAGCAAAACACAACACATGACAATAACGAAAGATGAGACACACGGCATGGCATATGACAATGCACGATATAAGTGGTACTGACAATTTGCAACTACATCAAACAAGCTTTCCCCTACAACATTTAACCACAGAACTTTAGTCCTAAAGGCCAGTCTTAAAAGGTTTGGTTACATCTACTCACTGTTGGGCAATTATTACAAACATTATGACCATGTTATTATGATGGATATGTGGTCATAACCATTTGAGATGAAAGTCAAACACATGTTATATACTCTGCCTTTCTTACAATTTAAGCTTTAAGAGTATTCTATATTTTTCTTTACCTTTACCAAGTTAGTAATACATGATATCACCTAATCTATCAACCAAACTTTGATCTAGAATTTTTCTAATCAAGATTGGACTACAACCCACCTACCATCTCAATATTCAACCTAGTAAGCCCTCGAAATTCATAATTTATTTATTTATTTGTATTAAATTTCATATATTTATTACTAATAAATTAGGAGATCCTCTAATTTTGAACATTCCTAATTATTTAATTAGACTATTTATTGTTGTTTACAATGTAAATAGGTAAAACGGTTCACTAATATATATATATATATATAAAACTATATGTAGTGCTGAAAAACACATACGTATTAATATATATTACTTAATTTTTTATATGTATTGCACTACATTAAAGTTATTATATATATTTTTATAAATTAATCTGATTATTTTTGTTGATTAATTAAGTGGGGGGAATGTGTAAGGTTTTCTCACTATGTGTAAGTTATTATCCTAACAAAAAAAAAAAAAAAAAATTGATGTCCATCCTAAATTAATTTTATAATTTTTTGTTTTGAAAAAATTAACACTTTTAGAAAAAAAAAATAGCGTTTTAGATTTATACTAAATTTAGCATAAAATTTATTAAATTAAAAAATAAATATATAATTTTAAACCATGAGAATATTAGATTTTCAGTTTTAAGAAAGTTTTCAATGAAAAACGCCCGGGCTGCCTGGCCAGCAGTGGAAATTGAATTGGTAGGAAAAGGATATAAATTTAACCCGACGGACTGAAGAAGAATTTAGGAAGCCCACCCACAGAAAAACCCTAAACTCTCTCCTTCACCTTCTCTCTTGTTTCTCTTTCTCTTTGATAACAATGGCGTCTCCTTCTTTGGACGAACAAACAGCAAAGGCCGTTCTTCGCCAGGTTTCATATTTACTCTTTTTCTTTTTGTTTTTCAAGTTCCTTTGACGTCCTAATCGCTTTCATAAAACCTGGATTGTGTTCTCGCCGTTATTTTGCAGGTTGAATTCTACTTCAGCGATAGTAATCTTCCACTAGATAGTTTCCTGAAGAAAACTATCAGTGAAAGCGAAGATGACAGTATCCTCATACGTAGCCTCTTTCTGATTGTATATATACATATTTTACGTACATTTTTTTTTTACTTCTTCAGATTTTCTGATTTTTGTCTTCTCTGTTTTAAAACGAAAGTGATCATTATGAGTTAGCTATGGAATAGAGGAGTATTATGAGTTTAGTCGATGGTTTTTTTCTTTTCCAGTGTATGGTGAGATGTTTAAAAAAAGGAATTCAATCAATCATTGCGTGTGTTTGTTGATCTTAACTACGAAATAGTGGTAAGCTTGGCATTGATATGCTCTTTCAGTAAGATGAGGGAGCATTTAAAGTTGGGGAATGTCAAGCCGGAAGAAGTACCTGAAGATACTGTGAAATCTGTGGCCGAAACTCTTAGAACCTCTTCTTCCCTAGGAATTTCTGAAGACGGTGAGTTTTTCTCGCTTAATAGAAGTAGAGGAGAATTTGAAATTTCAGAAGTG